CATAGTCCTCTGAGAACACCACCTCGATGTGCTGAAGTAATAAAGAAAAGCATAACGTTAAGTACTGCTAGGAAAGGAATACAGAAGCATACCAAAAATTTACAGCCATCAAAACTCCTCATGTTCCCACAGCACAAAAGAACACAGTTCTGGTCGGTCCATCTCAAAAATCGTACAGACAAATACAGGGATGATCAGTTGTACAGGACATCGCCTACTTGAAAAGCTGACCAGGTATAAAAGATGACAGGAGGGTGCAGTGTGACAGACACCAAAAAAATCAAAGTGTACAGTAGAAGAAAACCCAGCACAATGACTTGGTGCATCTCGTAATTCAATACTGAATGAAATGCTCAAACAGCAGGCTTCTCTCAAGTAACAGAATGTTTTCTTTTGTTCTTTCCCTCAAAAAACTCCTGTAAAACTCATTACTACTAGACAAATATAATATAAAAGCCTAAGAAAAACAAGAATATATATTTATTCCAGAAACAACTAGGTATATGAGTGGAAGAAAATTTCATCAATAATCATTAAGCAACGACGCTACCTGAAGCTCTTGAAGATAATAATTCAAATACGGTAAAGTGTATACCAGTAAAAGGATTATCTCTATTTTTTGAGGCCCTTCTTCTAAATCAGCAGCTAGAAGCCACTGCTGGAAACGGAACTGAGCTAGGCAGATGTTTGGTCTAATCCTGCCATAATATTATGGCATACGTCCAGCTTGTTTTGTTAGGTGATGACCTGGAAGACTTCAACAAGTCTCAGCATTGAAGTGATTCATTTGTCTGGATTTCTTCCAACAGGTAACCTGCCATAAGAAAATGAGAGCTGGTACATCTCTTCCTTTCATCCTTACCATTATTCAAGTATCATGACCTGAAGAAATGCCCTACAAAGAAGGCAGGCCGCAATGAGAAACTGAACTTAGAAAATGGAGGAGGATTGTCGTGGTCCGAACTCCAAGGAAGACAGGTCAAAAGAAAATCCCACACAAACTGTCAGCTTAGATGATGCAAACAATTTGTTCTTAGGTTTTAAGAATACTAACGTGTTCCCTTATGCTGTTACTCTACAAGCTTACTGAAACATCTGACAGACAAGTTCACTTGACCACAGTCAGACTACCCAACTTTAGCCTCAGTTGGGCAAGATACATTACAAACTAAGAAATACCCCAAGAAGAAAGAAATGTGTGAATCTCCTCCACCATCACCCCCAAAACAGACCATGGTGAGAAAAGAACATTTAAAAACTTGTAAATAAGGGAATTATTTTGTAAAAGCCTTTGCTCAGATGTTCTTAAACCTGTCCATTAATGCCACCCAGCGCACACTGCAAAGGATGGCAGGAACCTCTGGATGCCACTCAGCTCAAACTGCTGCCAAAAAAAGAACTTGCTTCAAAGTTAGATGAGGTCACTCACGATCTCATTCTGTCAAGTTTTAGATTTCTCCAAAGACGGGAGATCCCACAGCCTTTCCAGGCAGCCTGTCCCACTGCCTCCACCAACCATACTTACTATGAAAGTTTTCTCCTTCTATCCAGCTGGAATTTCCCTTTCTGAAACTTGTAACCTCTTATCTCTTTGCTGTGTGCCTTGCATTTCTAATACCCAGACGGTCTGACTTGGCAAATAAATTTTACACTGAAGGTGTATGATACAACTGTGCCAATCTGACGGCTCATCAGTGCTAATGAGGCACACTGGCCCTGCACATGTCCGACAATCTAATTTCAGCCCCCTCCTTGTGCTAGCTCTGCAACTTAAATGGCTGCACAGATCATCAATTCATCTCGCTAACCTGACAGAAATCCATTCCCTTGTTTAATTCTTATGTCCTCTTTGCAATATTAATATGTTCGGCGCAGGTCACAAGGGAGAAAGTGAAGCTGCAGGTAGGAACAGAGCATCCCGTTTTGGAGGGGGCCAGGGAACAAGCTGTAACCTGTGGATTTAGATTTAGGTGACACAGAACATCACATGCTAAAAAAACGTCAATCTGCTGTAATAAAACACCAACAATAACTAACATTCTTGTGCACACTTCCAACTTCATGCTCTCACCTATGGGATGAAGCTTACATTTCCTTCCTTAATAATGCAGCCTGTACTCCTAATCCACAAAGAGTTATTAAAACAGTGCTCAACTAATATTAATTATATTTAGCATTAATTACCAGCTGAGCTAAACAGAACATAAGAGAAAGGAAACATACATTATAGTTCAGGGATGCCACAGTTTGGAAATGGAGCAGCATTGTACTCACTTCATTTCACACGGATTCTGGTGTACACAGTCTTCACCAAGCCAGAGTCGCACAGGTCAAAGGTACAGAGCAGCCTGTGGCACTGAACTACGGCACAGCATTTTGAGTTTAAGCTACAAGGCATTGTGGGAAGCTTACATTAAACACACAGCTTGGAAAGGAAGCAAGTAGGAAAAAAAAAAAAAAAGTATGTACTTTTTAGTATGGCAAATACTCTTATACACACCAAAGAAAACTGCCATAGGACCGGCATTCAAAGTCCTATTTGGCAGCTAATGACAACTTCATCTAACTACTCTTTAACTTGTACTGAATTTCAATCATTTTTGAAACCCTACCTTTTGAACATGGGCTCCTTGAAAGGCATTATTGTAGTAAAGGACAAGCACTTTTACACAGCTGTAAGAGAAACCTGGTGAGAGAACAGATTGAAATCTCTCCAGTTTTCAGACACTGCATGCCATGATTCGTAAAGCCCATAAAGATCAGCAATTTGCGAGCTCAGAATAAATTTATCTTGTATCTGACACACAAAAAGTGGTTTTCCAAAGGAAAACTCCACTAACCCAAAGCAATAAAAAAAATAAGAAGAATTATGAAAATACTCATCAAATATTTAGAGAGCTCAAAGTGGTCCATACTTACCCTATAGGAAAGTTAATTCAACTTTCCTTATTTTTTTAATGTCTAAATTCCTCTAGTCCATTCTTCTCCCCCACGGTTCTGTATCTCAGTTTGAAAACAAGACAAACATCACGTGAACTGCCATGGCTCCCTGCTCCATCCTCAGATACTTTACACCACCTCATTCCCAACTGAATTTTGCATGGACTGCCAGGTGAGGAGAGCAAACCATCTCTCTCCTCGCCACTCCCTGCCCAGTTAAATCCTGCTGCCATCTGTCAGACCATTCACAGCTCATTTTTCAGGTATGGCTCCATGCGCCAGCCTCTGCTGACCTCCATTACCAGCACCAGGTTCACCACCCTCCTCCCCCTGGTCCTCGGATTTTTACATAAATAATTAATCCTATCAGTTTGTTTGATCAGTTCATGCCTCCCAGCTGCCACACACAAACTACACATTGCCCCCAGCTCCAAACAGACCTTTTACAAGATTTTATCAAATGGTATAGGAAGTTTAAACGAGGATTATCACTGTCCAAGTGCAGTCCTGCAACAGGATTTTGCTCTCATTTGTCCACAGTTGGCAGTGAGAAGGAACAGGCCTTTTTGTTTGACCCTTTCAGGGCGGGGGGTCCCACATCCACCTTCAGCTAGCATGGCGTGCAGCTGTATCAACTCCTCTCCGCTGTCACCCCAAAAACCTGCTGGTTCTTGGGACGTGAGGCATGGGGCAGGAACCGTCAACATTTCCCACAGCCCTCATAGCCAGCCTGCCTTAAAGCCTGATTGGGTTCCTCAGCCTCACAGACAGCTTCCAGAAATCTCTCTGTTTTACACCGCTTCCTCAGGAAGAGGGATCTAAACTAACTCTTGCCAGTTCAGGGATGTCTACGGGACTTCCAAGAGCAGCTCTGGAGGGGAAAAAACAAACAAACAAACAAACAAGCAGCAGCTCACGCCTGCAACAAGTCCTTTTTCATACTGATAGAGGTTGGAGGGAGAGAGGAAAGTAGGGATATCAGCAAAGATCCTAACAGCCATGTGTTTGCAGACTGGAGACAGAGTTTAACCAGCAAGTTTAGCACCTATTCTCCAACAGAAGCATCAGGGCTGCCATAAAAGGCTGGCATCATTTCACTGCACTGACATTTCTGATTACTTTATCTCCACATTAATAGGCATTTTCCTCTCTGTGGCTAGGGAAACTGCCACCACGAGCAGCATTAAGTTTCCCAGCATGGATGCACAATGCTGGAGATGCCACCCCACGTGCCTGATACCAAAACCTACCTAACTCAGGGCTTCCTTCCACAGCCAAGTTGTGTGTCATACTAATACTCACTACGTATTTCCTCTACACAGTCGAGCACTTCTGGTAATTACAGCAACTGCATTATTTAAAAGAAAGCAAGGCAGGGAGATCACGAGGCTGCCTAACGACCTGTGCAGCTCAGTTCTGCAAAGGCACGCGTGAACCAAAAGCAAAGCCAAGCCCAAAAGGGATCACCGTGTGCATGCTTTGAAAAGTTTTGGTGGTGGTGGGTTTTCTTTTTAAGAGGATTGGTATTTGTTGGTAACTTACTGTCTCATGTGGAAAGATATTCAGCATTTTCCAGGCTGATTTTGGAAGGGGAAGCCAGGTGTATTTTGAGGAGGATACCCACGGCTGAAGCTTTGCTCCAGCCCAGTACTTACCCCACAGGCTCTGCACGCTGCCCATAAGGGACAAACCTCCCCAAATCCTGCTCGGTTCCGTTCCAACCCCTCCACCCCCCACCGCCTGCCCACGTTTCGGCACCAAACCCTCCAGTCTGGCAGGGAGCCGTGCCGCTGGGGGGGGGGGCGTTTTTTGGGACCTGCCCGTCCCCCTTGCTGCCCCCACTGCCCCCCATCCAGCGCAGCCCCAAAACTTTCCCGGGGAGCCCCCCTTCACCAGGCTCCCCCCTCCACGTGCGAGCGGAGGGGGGAAATGGAGGGGGGGGGGAGGCTCCGCACGGAGAAAACTCTGGAAAAGAAACGCGGGGAGAAAGGAGAAGCGGAGAGGGGAAGGAGAAAGGGTAAAAGGGGGGAGGGAGGGGGGGGGGAAGGCGAAGCCCTCACCATCAGCACTTTGGCCGCGTTCTCCAGCTGGGCGATCACCTCGGGGGCCCCCCCCGCTGCCGCCGCCGCCGCCGCCATCATCATGGTCTCCGTTCAATGACGCGCCATGCGCTGCATTCTGGGGCCCGGCGGCCGCGCAGCCAATCCCGCCCGCGGCCCCGCCGCCCGGCCCGAGCGGCGGAGCCGCCGCCTCAGGCAGCGCGATGGCCGCGGGCAGCCCCAGCGCCACCGCCACCTCCACCGCCACCGCCCGGCTCCGAGCGGCCCCGCCGCACGCAGCGCCCACCGCCCGCCGCCCGCCGCCCACCGCCCGGCCCTGCGCGCCCGCCTCCGGGGCGGGCCCCGCGGGAGAGCCGGGGAGGAGCCCGCGGTGGTTGTGGCGGTTCTGGGGAGCCGGGTTCGAGGCTGCCCCCCGCCGCTCGGGGTTTGGGGAGGTTGGGGAGTGAGGGGAGAGGTGAATGTGGGGGAATAGGGTTGGTTTGTTGGAGGGGTGGATCGCCCAGAGCACATCGCACAGGGTGGTATCCATGTAGGGTTTGGGTATCTCCAGAGGAGGAGACCCCACAGGCTCTCTGGGCAGCCTGTCCCAGCGCTCTGTCTCCTCACAGCACAGAAGTGCCCCTTCATACTGAGCCCGAACCCCCTGTGCTTCAGGTTGTGAAATACTGTCACTGCACCTAGATCACACGCTGGAGCAGCCTTGGAGTGCGCAGGCTTTGGTACCTTCAGATGAACTTAAGTCAGAAGTCCTGCACAGGCCGAGTGGACCATCCCTGCTGGGTCAGGCACATAACAGCACCCACTGCTTGGCACACAGACCCTCCCCGGCCACCCTGCTCCGGACACAGTGCTGTGTCCTGGTCCTCCCAGTGCTCGAGAGGCCAGAGCTGGCCTCCCCCATGCTGAAGTTCATGGGGTTTGGAAAGTATCGCTGGGACCTGGTGGTGTGAAATGAGTGTAAATGTCCAGCGTTTGCACGCAAGGGATGCAGGATAATAATGGAAGGAAGAAGAAGACATCGAGGAGACAGGATGACAGTAAGAAGTACAACTTATTGAAGAGAAGACTGAAGGGTGTCAGTATTTTTCCCCAAGAAAGGGCAGCTTTCAGGGCCCAAGAGGACACGGCAGTGCTTACTACTCCACAAGGTTAGAAATAGCAGTCAAACTATGTAAAAGCTCAATTTTGTAATTTGCCTAAGATGCAATGTAATTCACGCTAAAACATTAAACGTATTTCAGGGTGTTGTTCTATCCTAGTTTCACTGTTGAAGAGAGTGGGGAGCTCAGCAGGGCTGCACTAGGGGAGAGAGAAGTGTAAGGAACATGAAACCAACAGGCAGAGATGGAGGAGGTCAAAGGTAGTGAGAGTGTGACAGCACACTTCGGTCCTGAAGTGTGCTTGTTGGGCAAACTGCAATATACAATGAGTCTAAAGAATGGTAAAATGAGTAAAGGAACTAGAAATGTGCATACAAAGCAGTGATGTCAAAAAAAAAATCAATCGCTGGAAAAGCTGTTTTAAGGAATACTGCGTTCAGTAAGGCACTACTTCAGGTGAGTATTTCTGTATTTGTAACTTGTATCCAAAATGAGATTCTTCAACAACTTCTTCAGCCTGCATAAAGATCCTCCATTCTCCTGTGGATTTGTGCATTCAGCAGCACACTCAAATAGCCATGGGATCAATAGAAACAGCATTTTATTGTTCAGGGTGGGGGCACTCAAAAAGTCTCCACACCAAGCTTCTGCTCAACAGACCATTGCTTAGGGCATTGCCAGCTGGGTCTTGAAAACCTACAAGAACAGAGTGCACGGCCCATCTGGGCAGTCTGTGCCCGTACTTGATGGTTGCCACAATGAAGCTTTTTCCCCTTAAATCAGAACCTCCCTGTATGACTACTGCCTTTCATCCAGCTGCCATATACCTCAGGAAGGAGTTTTGCTCCATCTTCTTGATAAACTCAAGTACTAGAAGAAAGCTCTTGCATTCCCCTCCAGGACTTCTGGCTGGTTGCCCTGACAACCTCACCAGAGACTTTAGCATGTTCAATGCTGCAGGTTTACCTGTGCCCAGTCCTGTCTCTTGTCTTTGCTTATTAATTGGCCTTCCTAGGAGGACCTGTGCAATATGTAGCCTTGTCTCCGTCCCTTTTTCCTACATGGATCTTGTCTCTGTATCCTGCTGTTCCTGACTAGACTTCCTGGCAGAGCCCTGGACCTGCCTGGTCATCTCACCTTGTTCTTGGACTGTCAACAACAGCATCACCAGCCCAGTCCTGCCCAAATCCTGAGGGCACTGCCCTGCCTGTACCTATGGTGAGCTGCCCTCATGGAGCAGCCCTGCTCTTCTCAGCCATGATATAGTCCACTAATTCCTCCAGAGTCCTCTTTCGATGAGTCCCCAGTGTGTGCTGGGGTTATTCCATCTCAGGTAGAGCACTTTGCATGGCATCTTAGGGACCCATCTACTGGTTCCCTGCATACCCATTGTGGTTTGGTCAGTTTGTGTCTTCCCCTTCTCCTCCTGCATTTTTTTTTTTTGTTATCTGAGCATACTTTGAAGGCAGTATGTTAATTAAATCCTTCCATTTTTACTTATTTACTTATTTATTTTTGCAGATGTATACAACACTGGAACAGGCTCCCCAGGGAAGTGGTCACTGCACCGAGCCTGTCTGAATTTAAGAAGAGATTGGACTGTGCACTTAGTCACATGGTCTGAACTTTTGGGTAGACCTGTGCGGTGTCAAGAGTTGGACTTGATGATCCTTAAGGGTCCCTTCCAACTCAGGATATTCTATGATTCTATGATTCTATACGTGCAGCAAAAAACCTTGCGTTTTACTATATTGTCATCGAGTGCATCTTGTCCATATTTCCAGTGGGAAGACCGAGTGGAGTAATCTGCACTAAAAATGAACATGTTCCAGAGGTCGCATTTTCTCCCAGCTGCATTACAATCTCAATGTTCTCTTGACTGGTCTTAGAAAAGCTGATTGTCCATTTATCTTGTCAGAAGGAATGCTGAAGCTATTTCTGCTGTTGGCTAAAAAAGATGCATCAAATTCTTCCTTAACACTTCCCTCTTTTGTGGTGTTAATATTCTTAAAATAGTTCAAAGCTTTTGGACTCACAGCCAGGCCAGAAAGGGTGTTGCTGGTAATGGAGCCTGTGCTTTTTGCTTTAGCAATTTGTTCTCTGTCTTGCTTTCTTTCACAGTTGAAAGCATCCAACTTGTGCTAGTTTTGGTCAAAGATTAAAATGTTAAGACAAATGAGCCAATAAAAAAGTTATTATTATTATAAAATATATGTTGATCAGACATTAATATGTACACACACGGCAACACCAGGAAAGATCACAGAATCACAGAATGGCTGAGCTTGGATCTCAGGAGGCAACCTGGTGCCAGCCGTGCCCAAGCAGGGACACCCAGAGCAGGCTGCCCAGGCCCACGTCTAGGCAGCTTTTGGAGCTCCCCAAGGAGGAGACCCCACAGCCTCTCTGGGCAGCCTGTGCCAGGGCTCCGTCACCCGCCCAGCACAGCAGTGCTGCCTGGTGCTCAGAGGGAGCCTCCTGGGTGCCCGGCTGTGCCCATGGCCTCCTGTCCTGGCACTGGGCACCACTGAGCACAGCCTGGCTCCGGCCTCTCTGCACCCTCCCGTCAGGGATTTAGGGACACGGATGAGATCCCCCCAATTGCTAAGACTGTTTCCTTCCCATTTCCCAAATGTATTCAGGAGATTTCTTCCCACCTAGCCTGTGTTTACTTTTCAATCGACCTCAGTTCTCTGGCCAGAATGTCTCGTTTGCTTGCTCTCCTAGGCACCTTTCCTTTAACTTCACTGGTCAAATTTCTGCAACAAGTCCTGCAACAAATTCTGCAAATAAGCCACAAATACATTTCAGCATTACATTACATGACATTACATAAAAGTAAATTCCAGCAATATCTTCTGGCTTATTGCTGTCTTTTCACCAGCAACAATCAGAAATCTGCTCAGAGTGGTGGCTCCAGCCAGTGATACCTGTTCCAGCTGTCCCAAGAGATGCTCATCTCCAATGACAGAGATCTCCCAACACTGTGAACTACTTGGCAGGATCATTTCAAACAGTTCTGTGTAATTCCTTCTGATACCTTAGCTAGATTTCAATAAAAAATACCTCAGTTGATTTCAATACAAAAGACCTCAGTAAATTTTTTGGAATATAGTTTCTGTGCAAGGTACCTGTTATAGCATAAAGTATATATATGCTTACACTAAAATGGTAGTCACTGCTGAGAACATAGAAAAATAAAGTTGAAGGATTGAACTGAGGTTTTTTTTTTAGAAAACCACTTTATTTGGAAAACAGCTTTTAGGTTTGAGAAAGCAAAATTTTTGATTGGAAAGTGTCTCTGCCCATAGCTGATAACCAACTTGTGTTTGGCCACACTTGAACTAATAAACTGGGAATGTTTATACATTTTTGAGCTGATAAAGCAATTGTAGGCTTCAGATTGAGCCTATGAATGAAAATTCATCTTGGTGTTCATAATCCTCGCCCTCACAGCTCTCACATGTGCCTGGGCTGCACGTCTCATCATCCAGAGCAGGTTCCAGCCCCTCACAGCTTCTGCTCGTGGCCTGAAGTCATGTAATCACCATCCACTTCTCCCTTGCTCCTGCCTCCTTTCAGGACACAGAGAACAGTGCACTTCTCATTATCCCCCAAATTCTAGTGAATAAATTAAGATCCAGCTGTAAATGAGAGCTCTGTAATAACAGCAGCTTGTCTGTAGGAGGTACCTTACCTTCCTTGCTGAGGAAGTGAGGGATGAATCAAAATGATGAAACAAATTCTAGGAATTTGCTCTAGGAGAGCATCTGTCTTTGCCTGTCTGCTCTTGCATTGCTCTGCTGAGGGGCTTAAACCAGACTTCATATTTTTACTGTTTGTTTTGTTTCACAAGGGTGGCTTGGTTTCTGGGGTGTATTTGTAACAGCACTGAAGATTGACAACTGCAAGCAGACAACAAGATCCTCATTGGGAGCAATTAAAAATAAGCTTATTTGGTATCTGAGGAAGAAAAGAGATCCCCTAATTCAAATCGTTTGTGCTCTGAATTAGACCATTGGCTCTTCAGTGTATTTCTTACAAAACAACAATGCTACAAAGCCAAATTAGTCACTCGGTGCTCATTACTATAGCCCTGAGCAAACCTCAGAGTTCTTGGTTTAGTTAAGAATGGAGTTTGGCTACGGATGGAGTCTGTTTTAAGTGAGGTTAATTGGGAAGAGGTGAAATATTAGGGATTTGAGTGAAGGCCTCAC